TGTATACTTATCATCTAAGCTTTATAATCTGAAAATAAAGTCATTATAGCCTCAGTCCTCAGTTGATTGCAGGAAAGCCCTAGAACACCCAATCCCCACTCCGCATGATGGATGATTCATGACCTGCCCTCAAGTGGGAAATGTCTCATTCAAAATAGCGAGCTGATATCCGTAGGGTGTTCTTGGCGGAGAGATACTGTTGGTGCTAACAAAGCACACCATAGGAAAACTGCTAGAATATAAGATCATCTGAAACAAAACTTTCAGCATAAAACAAGTGTTACCTATAAAAGTTCGAATTCTAAGAGTTTATGTGGGTTTTTTTATTTTGTGTTTTTAAATTGTTTTAATGTATTAATATCAAAAATAAATTTTTAAACATAAAAAAAATCTTATTTTTTTAATATATTTCTAAATAAAGATTATTTTATAAAGCAATTAATGCTATAATTTTAAATCAATTTTGAATAATTTTTGGCTTGAGAAAATGTGCAAGGTATAAATTTATTTATTAAATTTTATTTAGTATTCTAAGTTTTTTGTTATTAGTATTGTGAGAATAGGAAGCCTATAGGTAATGAGGTCCTCAAAAAATCTGAGGTCCTCCAGCGAGTGGGTGTGATGAGTCTTTAAATAATTCCATTGCTGGTCCCAGAATTGCCATTCCGGGGGTGCCCCAGCGATCTTATCGCTGTCGTGGAGAAAGATTTGTTGCAGAGCAGGAGCTGGTTACACGAATAGGTTTTGATGACGAATGGGTGAGGTGAAGTGATGCAAGTTATTGACATTAATGGTAACCCCGTCCCCTAAAAATTAATAATAACAAATAAGGACTGGTTTTTATTAATGTTCGTCCTTTTAGAAAAACATTCTCTTTACCGCTGTTCATTGTGTACATTCCTTTATCAGTCCCTCGATTTTATTTTTGTTTTGATTTGGTCATCAAACTTCTGTTTGTTTTAATTTGAATCTCAAATGGGTTTTTTTTGTTATCCTGGATTTTTTCATTCTTTTAGTTTTTTTCATTTTCAATGATGTGGGAAAAAACAGATTGAAAATTAAAAAAAAATTATTTAATTATATTTTTAGTTTCTAGGCCAGCTAAAATGTGTTTGGTTGTTAAAAATAGGTTTATAGGAGTTTATGAGATATTTTTTTTGTTTTTGAATAAAACAACTTGGACCCTCGCTTTCTAATCACTAAAGTCATCGTGATCGGAAAAAAAGATAAACAAACAAAGCATTCTCTATCAAAATTTTAAAAAGTTAAGGTGGATGATATATTTTTCAACTCGTCATGTTTGACCCTTGATTTTTTTATATTATTATTGTTATTTTTTTATGCATTTTATATTTAGATTTATCTTAGATATATTTATTTAAATGATGTTGAAATAGTTATCTAATTATGCCAATATCTTTGACTAATATTATCATATTTTATAGTAATATTAATAATTATTATATAAATAATTAAATATAAACCTAATATGCACAATTTTCTAGTACGTGAAGTGGTTTCTGGTCTTTTGGGTTGGACACGTGGTATAACTGGGGGAGAGATTTACGGGGCATCTGCCATAAGTCATGGCTCACGAAAATTCTCCTTCCTCTTCCTTCACCAGTAACGAGTTTGACCGTTGACTTTAGAATTTAAATGCAGTGATACAGCATCATCGAAGTTCTGTTTCTCTTCGCTCTACATGAAACACGAGTCAGGCACAAGTGTAGATCAGTGCATTTTATTTTTTTGACTCTACTGAACTATACTGTTCTTAATTAGCTTGTTTTCTTTTTTATAATTGGAAGTGTTAAAGGTAAGCTAACTGCTGGAATTTTTATATATAAAATATATATCATACCATTCCGCTACCAGCCAATTTTGGGGTGGGTGAAGTTTACAGGAACCCTGTGGCCAGGGGCGTGCTCGTGAAGAACAGATCAACCTTTTTCAGACACGGAATTGGCAAGGACACACCGACACGGTATCGTGTCGGCCAGTACTAGTATCGGAAGCTAGTACTGTTACGTTTGTTGTGCATTAATATCTTCTAGAAGCGTTTAAAATTATAGTTTCAAAGTAACAATTTTTTCTAATCAGATTTCCGAGTGTTTTTTTTTTAAAAAAAAACGACACTTTGTAAGGTTATTAGGAAAATGAAAAACTATCTAAGAAATAAAATAGTTTTAACATGTGTTTTTTAATATTAATTTTGTTTATAACTGTTATTTTTAATAACAGTCATTTAGTCAAGAACACAATACATGTATTATAAATAATGAGTCACTTTGAGCCCTAATTTTTATATATTTGATATTATTAAAAATGTTTTGGTAAAATGATTTTAACCACGCACTAAAACATTAGAAGACCATCAAATAAAGCTATGTTTAATCTTAAATTAACTTTGAATGAAATTTATAATTAACTACTACCTTATTTAATGGTTTTATAACATGAAAATATAATTTTTTTGTTGGGATTTTTTTAATGTTAATTAAATATATCAAAACCAAAGCTCTATTGACTATTTTTTCTTCTCTAATTTTCTTTGTTGTCGTACTAACTTATCTCTTCTCTCGTTTCTAGTCGCAACTATGAAGCATTTAACTGTAAATTTTATTTTTAGACCATTAATTTTTTACAAGTTTATGAATTGAATTTTACATGTATTAATTGATTTGAATAAGGCATTATTTTTTAAATAACTATTATTTTCAACAGCAATTATATACAAACTATTTTATTATCCATATACTTTTATAACTTATGTTGTTTTATTTTATTTCTTTATCAGACTAAATTTTAAAAGACATCTAATTTCCCAATACTCGTCACCAGTGCATCGAACTTCTTACCTTTGAACCATCCCATCATAATTACGTAATCTATAACCAAGCTTCCTCGTGTTAGTATGTTTTAATCGCATAAATTTAATAATGCTGTGAGTCATTGTGTTCATAATCTGGTGTTGTTTAAAAGAAAAGGTAGGAATTATACTATCATGTCGGCAATTGTAATTTACATGGCTGACCCTCTTTTTTTTTTTGCAGTAAGATAATTAATAATTTATAACTTAATCTTTTAATTTGATAAAACTAATCAATTATTTTTCGTGGTTTACAACTAGAGAAAGAATGCGAACGACCACGTTTTACCAATAAAAAAATGACATTTTGGTGTCCAAGGTTGATTTTCACGGGGGATTCCATAAAAGTGGTTTTTGGTTTTTAATCATGCTATGAAAATTAGTTTAGATTTGGATTTTTTGCTGGGATTAATTTTAAGTCTTTAGGCATATTTGATGCCTCCCTAGGATTTTTTTTTTAAGTGAAATGATAATGAAATCTAAGTTTTTAGAATCTATATAAACCATACCTTAATTTTTCAGTAACCAAGGACACCTCCTCTGTTGTTGTTGTTTTTATTTTTTTAAAAATATGTTATCTTTCTAAACAAAATAATTTTTAATTAAAATTACTACAATAAAATTTAGAAAATCACTATACTATGTCCTTTTTTTTCAAATAAGATTTGAGCTCTCGTGGTAACATTGTCATTAATTTATAAGAAACTTCTATAAATCTAGTTTGCATATTTATTTTTCAAAAATTGTTGTTTTATGTTTTTTACAATACTAGTAATTATAATATAATTGATTATAACAGGGAAAAAAAGAAGAAAAAGACAGAATCACGTCCTCGAATAAAGTTACTAAGAACTGAAACAATCACATGCGAGCATCATGGAAAAGGACACTAAAACCCAGGCCCAGCAGGCAGCTATAAAACGTACCTCACGTTTTAAAGTCGAGGACCACCGTTCACATGCGTTTTAAAAATATTTAAGGGTTTTTTAATTTTTTATTTAAAAATAATTTTTTAAATATTGGTAGATAATTTTGATATTATAATATTAAAAATATTTTTTTAAAAATAATATAAATATTTTTTATATATTTTTAAGTAAAAAATATTTAAAAAAATAATTATAATTATATTTTCAAATAAAAAATATAATTTTTTATTTTATAAAAAAATTTTATATAACAATTTTCTCTTTAAAATAATTACACTACGTACATAAAAAGTTAAATTTGTATTTTTAATTTTTTTACAAATAATATCTACCGGTTAATGTTGTATCATATTTTTTTAACAATCACGTTATTTATTATATAATAATATAAATATAAATATAAAATAAATATTATAATTTAGATTGATAAGATGCTCATGGTATTATAATAAAATATTATAAAAAGTTTCTTCATGCATGGGTTAAAATTTTATATAGTAATTTTTTTTGCAGTTAAAACAATAATTTTAAAATCTAGCATGTTTTAGTTAATTGACTCGAATATTGACTAATCCAAAATTAAATTAAATTATATTTAAAAAAAATAAAAAATTCAGATGACTTTATAGATTAACCTAATAAGATTTTGTAAAAAATATAGTTATAACCAGTTAAATATTTTTTTAACTGTTATGACATTATTTTAATTTAAAAAAAAAATAAAATTGACTTAAATAATTCAGTCACTTGATTAAAACCTATAATCTGACTATTAACCAAGTTTAAAAACTCTATTTGAAAATGTATAATTAAATCTGATTAGTTTGAAAAAAATATTAAATTAATATTTATTTTCAATGAAATTTAGATATTTTTAAAAAACTAACATACAATAAAAAATTTATGTAAATTATATAATTAGGTAATAATTTAAATTCGTAAGTGGGGATGATTATTTTATAAAATATTATTTTTTATACTGTTTCTGAATTCAAATATTAATATTATTTTTTAATTAATAAAACACATGGAAGTTTGAATTTAAAAAAGATTATTTAAAAGATTATATAAATTACAAGATCTCACCTGGTAATTTCGTACGTGTCCTTGATATTATGCTGTCATATGTTAGATGCTGACAAAATATATCTATATATATACATATATATATATATAATTAATTAATTCGCGTTATTTCGATCTATATAAGGGTAGCCAGCCATCGGAATTTTTTGGTAACTACCTCCCTCAATTTCTTGAAGAAAATCATGTTCGATATCCTCGATGTCATCTCTACTGGCCCAACCGAGCCTGATGTTGCCCATGACTTTTCCCCCGTTATGATCATCTACAAAGATGGCAGGGCAAAGAGACTCGTGGGCAATGAGATTGTTCCCCCTTCTCTAGATCCCAAATCAAATGTTCTGTCCAAAGATGTTGTCTATTCACAGGAAGAAAATTTATCTTCTAGACTTTTCCTCCCAAACAACATCAATGCCAACAAAAAGCTCCCTCTTTTACTTTACTTTCATGGCGGAGGCTTTGGCCTTGAGACTCCCTTCTCGCCTACGTACCATGGCTATCTCAACACATTAGTTGCAGAGTCTCAAATAATCGCCATCTCAGTTGATTATAGAAGAATCCCAGAACATCCCATCCCCATTCTGTATGGCGATTCATGGGCTGCTGTTAAATGGGCTGCATCTCATGCCGATGGGGATGGTCCTGAAGAGTGGCTAAATAGCCATGCTGATTTCAACAAGGTGTTTTTTGCCGGAGATAGTGCTGGTGCTAACATAGCACATCACATGGCCATGAGGTATGGTGAAGAGAGATTAGTCGGTGTTAATCTCATCGGGATTATTCTAGTACATCCTTTCTTCTGGGGCAAAGACCCTATTGCCAACGAAGTTGATGTAGGCGAGACAATGCGAGAATTGATGGAGACTATTTGGCGTTGTGCGTGTCCTACAACAAGTGGATGCGATGATCCTTTAATTAATCCGATGAATGATCCAAAATTGCCCAGATTGGGGGGCAACAAGGTGCTTGTTGCTGCTGCTGGGAAAGATGTGTTGAGGAACAGGGGGAGGTTGTATTGTGAGACCTTGAAGAACAATGGATGGGGTGGAAGGGTTGAGTTCATGGAGGCCAAAGAAGAGGCTCATGTTTTCCATTTGCCCAACCCTACCTGCCAAAATGCTGTGGCAATGCTTAGGAAAATTGTTTCTTTCATACATGAAGAATGACTGAATGCGATTTTTTGTTGCCTCTAATTATTGCTAACGCCCCTCTTCACATCTTTATGCTGTGTTTATCCACTGATGAGATAAAAATAACAGAGACAGGGAAAAAAAATAATATCAAATCTTTATGCTGTGTTTATCCACTGATGAGATAAAAAAAGTATCTTTCATTATAATTGATTTCACACTTTCAAAACATATATTTTAAATTATTGTGTTAATTTTTTTTTAAATATAATATCTTAAATTGTTGTATTTTAAAAACACAATGTTTAAATATATCATGATTTTTAATAATAATATTTATTAAATTTTCTGTTTATAAAAGATAGCATAATTAAATTATGCTAATTTAAGAAAAAATCATTTTAATTAGTACCTGATGGAGTCAAATATTACAAGAGAATTTTAGCCAACTCTGTTTTTATTTATTTTTTAATTCCCTTTCCCCGCCTCTCTTCTCTTTTCATTTTTTTTATTTTTATTATTACACCTCCACGCCACTGCTGTTATCATTTTACAATACTAATTTATACCATATATTACACCAATAAATTGGAAAAACGCTCTCACTCGCCATTTTATTAGATAGATCAATAAACTGCATCTAATTTTTTTTTTTTCTGTTTTTGGTTACATAAAGTTGTAAACAATTATGTTTGATGTGACGCGGCAGCTCAACCATTATTTTGCTTTTTTATTTTTATTTTTTTCCTTTATTTTTTTTATTTTTAGATATTTTTAATATATTAATATTTAATAAATTATTTTAATATATTTTTAAATAAAAAATACTTAGATAACATTTATGTCTGAATAATACAACAGCGCGTAACAACGTACAATGTAGGAATTAAACCCATGGTTACAGAGATAGCAGTACCATACTAACCCGGATCGAGGGATAATTAAACTCAAGTTAAAAAAATCCACCTCACAGACATTCGTCCACGTCGCCTTAAATGAGAGTTGAAAATACCTGAGTTGAAAAAAAAAAAAAAAAAAAGATGCAATTGTAGAGAGACTGAATCTCAATATGCAAAAACTAACAAATAGATGATAAAATATGATAGCCTTCAATTAAAAAACAAAAACCTGACAGAAACTCTCCCCAGATCCTAGGCCTTGTCCTGATTCAGGAAAGAAGAGATTTTTTCAAGCATGAGCCTAGCGTTCTCCCCAGGAGGAGAGAGAAGATGGAACACATGATTCTCTCCTTTGGCCTCCATGATCTCCACTTCTCCACTCCATTCATTCTCCCTCAACTTTTCATAGTAGCGCCACCCCCTATCTCTCAGCAGATCCTTTTCAGCGACAGCAACAAGCACCTTGGAGCACTCCAGCCGAGCCAAGTTTGGATCGACAAGTGGATTAAGTAAAAGGTCATCGCACCCATTTGATGTAGGGCATGACAGACGCCACAGACCTTCAGCGAATGCTCTTTGTGATGATTCCTTGGGCTCATTACCAATAGGATCCTTACCCCAGAAGTATGGATGTGCCAAAACTATCCCAGCAACATTAAAACCAACTATTTTCTCTTGACCGTGTCTCATGGCCATCTGGTGTGATATATTAGCACCAGCACTATCCCCATAAAAAAACACCTTGCTAAAATCAGCATGAGAGTTTAGCCACTCCTCAGGCCCATCTCCATTAACATGAGATGCAACCCATTTGAGGGCTGTCCATGAATCATCGTATGCCGCAGGAAGAGGATGCTCAGGTGCTCTTCGGTAGTCTACGGAGACTCCTATGACATTAGCCTCGGCTACTAAGGTATTGAGGTAATTATGGTAAGTTGAAGAGAAGGCAGTTTCTATCACAAAGCCTCCACCGTGAAAGTAAACTAGGAGGGGCAGTTTTTGGTGAGGATTTGTGTTTTTTGGAAGGTAAAGTCTACAAGATAGATCCAGCGCAGGTGAATAGACGACATCTCTGGACATGACATTGGAATTGGGATCACCAGGAAGGGCGATATCTACTCCCATAAGTCTCTCTATGCGGCCATCTTTGTATAGTCGAAGTAAAGGAGAGAAATCTTGAGCAACTTCCGACATGGTTGAGCACTTGAAATTGCCGACAGAGGACTCGGTTAATTCAAAACATATTTGGAAAAGGCTTGAATAAATATGGGGTTTACAATTTACATCGTAATAAATACTGGGGTTTCATTATAACATGACGACAAAACGAAAGAAAAATTACTGAAAATATATTAAAATAATATTTTAATTTTTAAAATCTCCTCCTCCATCTACTTTATGCTGTTTTTTCATAATAACATTACTGGTCACGAGAAGTTTTTTCTATTTTGCAAAAATTAAACCCCCTTCTCACCACCTTCACTAGCATGTTTTTTATTTGTCCATTCCTATCTTACAATTCAAATAAGCATCCGTGTGAATTCAAATGCCTTAACTCAAGAAGGAAATTTCGGCCGTCAAAGCTTATCAATCGGGACCGTAGAAACTTAATTTTCCACCGATTTTAATTAAAATCACGTAAAAACCATCCTGAAAGGCCAATAATCCATTGATAACCCCCAAGACCCTCCAGCATGCACAGAAAATCAAAGTCAAAGTAGGACAAAATTGTAAGCTCAAATTTATTTATTTACAATGTCACTTAAAATAAATACCACCTCTACAGAGTTCTTTTCTCTTTCGAATAAATTCAAAGATATCGAAACCAAAGTTATTAGGTATTAGAATTTAATCATCCAAGAGCTTTCCCACTCTTTAATTATTTTAATGATCTTCTCTTTTACTTCTCAGTTTTCAGCGATTGAAATGCTATAAAAATAAAGTTCAGGGGTAGACTATAATAGCCTAAAAAACAAAAATAATGGGAAAGGAAAAAAAATAAAATCTGATGGTCAAACAAAAGCTTTTGTGGAGAGGGGCTATATGTAAGGATTATGGACACCACTTATCTCCACATTGGTATGATATTGTTCACTTTGGGTCTAAGTCCGATTTGCTCTCTATCTTCACATTGATATGATATTGTCCATTTTGGACCTAAGTTCTCATGGATTTGCTCTTGAGTTATACCCAAAAGGCCTCATACCAATGGAGATATTTGTCCATCCTTATATACCCTTGATCCTCCCTATTTCTAATCAATGTGGGACTTTGATCGCATACCTAATACTCTATTTCTTTCTTTATATTGATATTGATTCTCAACCTCTCGATTTGATTACTAAAAGGAAGATAAAATTGTATTTCATAAAATCAATCACTAATTAATGATGATTCATTCAACGAGACATCGATAAAGTGAGAAGAAAGAGCAAGAATATTCGAGCTTGGAAAAATATAACAACATAACTTAAAAAATATGTAAAATGGTTGAATAAACTCGAAACTTAAAGGATCAAAATGCAAAATAAAAACTTGAAAATATGTGAATAGTGGATCCTAGACAGCGAAATCATTGGGTGTTTGCCTGTGTGTAAGATTACAAGGATATTTTATGATGTAATTATAATTGTTTTTTAAATAATATTTTTTTTATTTTTTAAAAATTATTTTTGATATTAGCATATTAAAATAATTTAAAAACAATAAAAATATATTCATTTGAAGTAAATAATAAATAATTTTTTAAATTATTTTAAATATATTTTTGAAATACAAAATCAAACAATTTCACGTCACATCACTTAATTAATTTTGAGGAAGAAACAATTAATTGAAATTTCTGCTAGCAGAAAAGAAAAAAGAAGAAGACGTGGTTCATTTTAAGATAACGTTACTTGTTAAATTACGTAACCTGCACATCCAATTAAAAACAAAAGGACTTGATCCAATATATTCCGCAGCCAAGGAAGGAAAATTAAAGGTACATGACACTGCCTAGCAATGCTAGGCAGCATAATTGTGGTCTCAAAACATCAACTAGTCAATTTGTCTATGTTCTGTTTCATTTTCACTAGAAAACAAATCCGTCACTATTGATTAGAACATTACTTCGATAGGTTTGTTTTCACCATCAAGAAATAATTTGATTTTTTAAAAAACTTTTATTTCAAATTAATTTTTTATTTTTTAATATATTAATATCAGAAATAATTTTTTTTAAATAATATATATTTAAAATAAAAAATATATTAAAAAATAATTGTTATCACAGTACTATCAATAACTGTAATATAGCCCAGCGTTTCAAATTTAAATATGCTATTATCTATACATGCACGGGCGGGGTCCATGACGACCAGAACAATATGAGATCTATATATATATATATGCCAGCCTGCCTTTCTCCGTTTTTAATTTTTTTATTACTTGCCACTTGATACCAGGGCCCAAAGCTCCTTCGATATTTAATCACAGAAGTATCTGAAACGTCTGAGAGGTGACGTGGAAAAATACAGGTCCATTTTTTTTTTCTGGGAGTAAAAGGGCCGAAGCCCAAACTAAGAAGTCAGAACATTTGTCATGGAACAAAAGCCCAACCACATCAGTTATATTTTACCCTTCTAGAAGACCATAAGAGAGAACTCCTCACTTGAAACCATGACTGAAATTAGTGTGAACTAAACTAAAATTTACTCTACCTTTTATCTTAAGAAAATTTAATTTATTTTTCCACATTGGGAGATTTGTGCATGAAAAATGTTAAAAATTTGTTTTTAAGAACTCAGATAAGCCATTTTAAATATTTAAAAAATGCCAACATCCATTTGAAATTTCCGTATGATTTTGCAAGAATACTATAGAATTAAATAAGGGGAATTTATTGAATAGATTCTTGTATTTTCCTGGAAATATGATATCTGTAGCTGATTGAAAATAAAAAGTTCTTATTAGTATCTCTTTTACTTACTCATTCATCCCTGAACATCAGTGATAAAATCAAATAAGTTTAATATTCTCCCCTTATAACTTAAAATAAATTTAATAATAAGATATTTGTCATTTATAATACAAACATGCACATCACCTGTGTTTAAAACTAATCACTGAAATGGATTCCACCCCTAAATTTGGCTTTATAAAATAATTAATAACTAGTAAGTAAAATTAAGAAACTACCTCCTATCAATTTACATATACTATAATAAATATTTCAAAAGGTCTTTTTAAATTCAATCCCCGGACAATATTTTTTTCTCTCCCGATGACGAATCCCTGAAGGAATTATTTAAAATCACTATAAAAGTTGCAAGTGCATGTGATTAGGTATTCAAGACTAAAAGAGTATTTGGGGCGTGGAAGCGATTATTTTTTTAAAAGTATTTTCATGCATTAAAATAATTTAAAAATATGTTAAAAAATAACTTTAAATGAAAAAAAAAAACTCAAAACTTACTTCATCCCTATTTGAAATGCAACACCAAACGTGACTTTACCACCTACTCATGATCGGGAACTGCTCTCAATATGGTTGTTTTCGAATTGAGCTGTCTTTGGAATAATCTCTCCGGCTGCGGAAAATTCCATGATCACAAGGAAAAAATGGATGTTTTTCCCAAGGCAATGCTTTTGGATTATTCAAAGGCATCGTAGAATTCTCCTTTCAAGAATCCTTTGTGACGTTTAGTGTGTCGATTATTGCTTTCCAAATCATCTTCCATGTAGAAAATGCGGATCTCGTTGCATTGTTTTACTCTCACTTCCAAATTAAATACTAATGAATTGATTATTATACACTAATTTCTAACAATATAGGGGCTAGCTACTGCTCAGCTCTCAAGGGCGACCATATTTTCATTCATTTCTTTCTGCATGGGCTCGAGTACTAAGCGTGAAATTGCCCATAATTTTTCTCCCCATGGTATCATATATAAAGATGGCAGCATAGATAGACTAAGTGGCAACGAAATTGTCCCCCCTTCTCTTGATCCCAAATCCAATGTCCTTTCCAAAGATGTTGTCTATTCACAAGAGGAAAATCTTTCTTCTAGACTTTTCCTTCCAACAAGCGTTGATGCTAGCCGAAAGCTCCCTCTTCTACTTTACTATCATGGAGGAGGCTTTTGCATTGAAACTCCCTTCTCACTTACTTACCATAGCTACCTCAAGACACTAGTTGCCGAGGCTGAAATTATTGCCGTCTCGGTTGATTACAGGAGAGCCCCAGAACATCCGATCCCCATCCCGTACGATGATTCATGGACTGCCCTTAAATGGGCCGCATCTCATGTCAACGGAGACGGTCCTGAAGAGTGGCTAAATATTCATGCTGATTTCGGCAGGGTGTACTTCGCTGGAGATAGTGCTGGCGGTAATATAGCCCATCACATGGCCATGAGATACGGTCAAGAGAGATTACCTGGTATCAATGTCGCAGGGACGGTTCTAATACATCCTTATTTCTGGGGCAAAGAACGTATTGGCAACGAGGTTAATGAAAGAGAGGCAGTACGAGAAGGGCTTGATGCTATGTGGCATGTCGCGTGCCCTACGACTAGTGGATGCGACGATCCCTTGATTAATCCAATTAAGGATGCAACATTGCCTAGCCTGGGGGGCTCCAAGATGCTTGTTTTCATAGCTGGGAATGATGTGTTGAGGGACAGGGGGTGGCTGTATTATGAGACCTTGAATAAGAATGGATGGGGCGGAAAGGTTGAGATCATGGAGGCCAAAGAAGAGGTTCATGTTTTTCATTTGTCCAATCCTTCCTCCGTCAATGCCGTCGCTATGCGTAGAAAATTTGTCTCTTTCATCCACGAAGAAAGATAGCTGGAGAAAAAGGAAGGATAGCTGTGTATATATAATCTGTAATCTATTACTTCAATTCTTGGGCTGCATCGTATTATACGACTCTACATGTTATCTAATACTTCATCGATGAACCAAGATTTATTAAGAAATTATGTCAAACTAATTAGATAATCTCAAGTCCAATATTAAAGCTCACGAAAATAGACCTAAATCAATGGACATTAATTAACTTACCAAAAGCTAGCTACAAGAAGCTTAATATATAGTCATTGATCAAGTTACACCGTATGTGTTAGTATTATAAATAATCATTATGAATGCTAATCACCCACTAACCTATAAGTAATATAAATTGCATTCATTAACTCCAAACCAAAATATATGTGACATAGATTAGTCATGGTTTATTCAAATATGAATAATAATAATATCTTTTAATCTTAGTATAAGTTGAAGAATCCCCTTCCGTGGGTAAAATTAAAAAAGCAAATATCAAATATATCACTAAATTATCGAGTAATATCAATTGTAAAAAGCAAATATCAAATATATCACTAAACTATCGAGTAATATCAATTGTGCACCCAAATTATATTTTATATCAATTTATCACTAAATTATTTTTATTTCTCAATTAAGTCAACTTTCCAACAAAATAATGTTACTTCTTAGAAGAAAGTATAATTTAAATAAAGATGCAGGAAAAAAATCCTTTGAAAATAAATGAAAGTATTTAATTAAGAGGTTTGAAAATAAAATTGATATAACAAAATATTCGATGAAAATATTGATTAAGACTATATATATCTATATATATATATAGATATAGATATAGATATAGATAGATAGATAGATAGATAGATAATATAATGGTATTCTTTAGAATTGCATAATTAATTATCAATTCATAAGTCAGCACTAATTGTGTTTTTAAATGAATAGTTTATCTTCATTTTTTACTCTTTATAAATTGTTTTGTACTTTTTTCACCATTTCTCCTTCAATCTACTAGATGTCATTTAATATCGAGACGCATACATACAGGAGGAATTTTCCCTCAATCCTACTAGAAGGAAATTATTATATACCAAATGGTTACGAAATTTGAGTCATGTTCTAGAATCCAAACAATTCCTCTTTATTAGGTTTTTCAAACAGTCCCTCTTTATTAGGCTTTTTTTTAAACACTTTTGAAATGTAAAAATAATAAAACACGTGTTCGTAGAATTCCTTCTTCACAAATCATATTTTACGTTTAGTCCATCATTCATCATTAATGCTTTTAGATCCAGAACATACTCGTGTGTTTGTTTTAGAAGTGGAGGTTGTTATTTGGGCGTGGGATCCACTGAAAAAACTAAAAAATAATAATAAATATTAGTTTTTATGGTTGAATTTTATATATAATTAAATTATACCACAAATGATAAAACAAACACTGCAATGTCGGTGCGTTGTTTGGCTTGTCTAATACGTCGGCATTAGTAAATCGGAGTTAGGACCACCCTTTCTGAGATGGTAGTCGACCTTAATTAGTTACAAAAGAAAAGGATTACAAGAAAGCTTCATGATAGTTCTCAAGATGGAGGAGGGCCCTAAGCATGAAACTTCATTCCTTTAAGCAGACTTTTCCCTTTTTGTTTTTTTTTTTTCCTTTTTTTTGTATAAACAAGAATTAATCCCATGACAAATCCATGCGATTCTACAATTTAGCATGTCGACCATAAGTCTCTGTTGGCCAATAAAATTAGTAAAGTAATTACGCGCCAGTCAATTCCTGACGGTCTCCTGGAGTTTCTTTATTTGACAAACCTGGACGTAGAATTATAGCGTTTGATCAGGTTTGGAACTTGGACACTCTCACTTCAGAATTTCAACCCATCTAGAAGACTTTTATGATGTCATCGCTGCGTTAGCCAACAATTAACAGCTTGAGGATTTAAAACCAGTACCAGGGAACACCGTGAGAATTCAATTTCTTCTTCGACTCTGACGTCTTTCACCTGTCTATAAATTAAAGACCCTCCTCCATTCTTTTCTCATGCTACCACAACTTCATCATTTCTTGTAAAACAGAGGGAAGAGAAAAGAAAAGCCACCATGTTTTCATACAATATGGACGCAGCCAAGGCTGATGTTGCCAAGGATCTGTCTCCCTTTATCATCTTATATAAAGATGGCAGGATAGAGAGGCTCATAGGCAACGAAATCGTCCCCCCTTCCCAGGATCCCAAATCCGATGTCCTGTCAAAAGATGTCATCTATTCAAAAGAAGCAAGACTATCTTGTAGACTTTACCTTCCAAAAGGAGTGCATCCCAACAAAAAGCTCCCTCTCCTGGTTTACGTTCATGGGGGAGGCTTCTACGTTGAAAGTGCCTTCTCGCCTACTTACCATAATTACGTTAACCTCTTAGTCGCCGAGGCTAAAGTTATTGCTATCTCTGTTGATTATAGGAGAGTACCAGAACATCCCATCCCTATTCCATATGATGATTCATGGGCTGCCCTAAAATGGGCTGCCTCTCATGTCAACGGAGACGGTCCTGAAGAGTGGCTAAATAAACATGCTGATTTAAGCAAGGTGTTCTTGGCTGGTGACAGTGCTGGTGGTAACATAGCACACCACGTGGCAATGAGGTTTGGTCAAGAGAACATTATTGGTGTAAATGTTGCAGGTATTGTTTTAATAAATCCTTATTTTTGGGGAGAGGAACGGATTGGAAATGAAGTTAATGAATTAGAGAGAGTGCTGAAAGGGATGAGTGCAACATGGCACCTTGCATGTCCTAAAACAAGTGGATGTGATGACCCTTTAATCAATCCTACTTACGATCCAAATTTGTCTAGTCTGGGGTGCTCCAAGGTGTTTGTTGCTGTTGCTGAGAAAGATTTGCTAAGGGATAGGGGCCTGCTATACTGCGAGACTTTGAAGAAAAGTGGATGGGGTGGAGTGATTGAGATTATGGAGGTCAAAGGAGAGGAGCACGTCTTTCATTTGTTCAAGCCAGCCACCGACAATGCTGTCGCCATGCTGAAAAAGATTGTCTCTTTCATACATGGCCAAAACTGAATATGTTTGCCTGTTCTCTTTTTTTCTTTCAGTGTTGTATTTCATCAAGGATGGTAGTCGACCTTAATTAGTTACAAAATAAAAGGATTACAAGACAGCTTCATAATAATTCTCAAGATGCAGGAGGGCCCTAAGCATGAAACTTCATCCCTTTAAACAGACTTATCCCTTCTTGTTTTTTTTTCTCCTTTTTTTAATATATAAACAAGAATTAATCCCATGATTAATATCCATACCTTTTTTTATTTTGTGTTCAAAGTGATAAATCCATGCGATTTTTATGTTTGCCTGTTCTCTTTTTTTCTTTCAGTGTTGTATTTCATCAAGGACCGTGTAATAATTTTTTCATGTTTTGTGCTATTAAATAAATATATAATATTTTAAAAAATTAATTATTAATTCAAGTATGTAAGTTTTTGAAGTTAACAATTAAGTTTTAATTCAAATACTTTACTCAAAATATTAAAAAAAAAATACAAAAGTATATCAAATTAAAATAAAAGATAAAAATAAATTCACTATTAAGGTTACATCATTCGATATTTTATAAAATATAATTTATTTATAATTAAATCTGTATTAATATTGTAATAACCTTTCAACTGAGATAACATAATAATCAATAAAGTAATTAATTTTTTCTCTCTCTCAATTCCTCTTTTCTTCACTTGATTTTTTTTTAAATTAATGTTTTATAAGTTAGACTTTATAAGTATACAAGTTATTTCCTCACTTTTTTTTCCTTGATTTTTTTATATTTTTCTCTTACTTTTCTCTCTTTCTTTCTTGCCTTTTTTTTTCTATTTTGTTTCAGCCCAACATATAAAAGGAAGGAAAATGTGATTTGTTTGATTTTTTAATAGCAAATAATTATTTTATCCTTAATGAGTTGTTTTGTTTTTATTTGATAGTTTTTTTATTAGTACTGCCAAGCTCTGTTCATTCTAAAATTTTAACTAAATTTTATTAAATATATTTTAAGATTCTTTATAAAATTTCAACTTAATTCGATGGTCAGATTGAAAATTACGTATAATAACGTAAAACTAGTTAAATTATGATTTTTCATCAAATTTCTGAATTTTTCTAAAAATTATAAAATTATAAATAAACTAAAATATTATATTACAAGGATTTACGTAAATTTTCAGAATTTTTTAATAACTCAATTATAAATTATAAATTTTTTATATAAAATTAATTAAAAAATATTGATAAAATTTTAACCTTATTAAAGCTGATTCTAGCCCTTGTTGTTCTTCCGCCCATGTATTTCATGTGGTATTCGCCCTTATAGAAAGTAGTAGCCCCACCTTTACGTAAACTAATGGGGCACTACCACCAATTCTTAGACTAAATCTTTGTGCTATTCTGGGAAGACAATTTTAGATTGTAACCTTTTCCCTTTTCCTTTTTTAACGGGAATTTTCTTTATATTTAAACAAGGCACGAGCCCATTATAATTGTTTAATGAAGTCCAGAGTTACAAGGCAAGCAGTGGTGGAAGCAGGGGCCCGGCCCTGCAAAATATTTAATTTATTTTATTACTTAGACACTAAACACGCTAAACGTTAAAAGATTTGAAGGTGGAATATATTTTATTTTTATAAATGGGCTCTTCCCATAGTAAATATATTGATAGAATTTGATCATGTTTTGTTTTAACTCCCCCTTGAAATATAAAGTTGTTGTTAATTTTTAAAATCCTAACATTAAATAAAAGATGGATATAAAAATAGAAATAATAAATGGAAAAGTAGAGTAGACAACAAACCTATTAATTAATTAATTTTTTATTAAATAAAACAAGATAATTGATTATTGATAATCTAAATTTCAAATATATTTTTGTTTTGTTCTAAGGTATTTATTAAGAATTTGATGATTTTTTTATAATCATGTTATTTTTGCTTCTTTTTTTCTCAGATTGGTTAGTTTTACTAATTTTTTAAATTCTTGTTATAGTGATGTTTTTTCTAATTAATTTGATATATTTTATGAGTTTGTTTTAAATATACTTGGATTTTTTTATTTTTTTAACAAAGTCACCAAAATTATCAATTTTTTCTCACAATATATGTTTTGATTTTAAGTTGAACCATGAACAGAATAAGAAGAATTGATTTTTTTTAATAAAAAGAGAAAAAATATTGAGAAATCAAAGGTTAGTGAACCAATTTCAATGTAAAATATTGAGAAATCAAAGGTTAGTGAATCAATTTCAATGTGTAATGTTAAAGGTATGGTTGAATAGTTCTAATGTATTTCAGTTTATAAAGAACGTGCATTGACTAGTAAACCACCTCCTACCAGAATTGATATTGCTCTATTAGTTGGAAATCCAAGCAATCGTCCTCAAATTTGAAAATACCTAGTTAATTAATAAGATAAAATTTGAAGGATATACGTTAATTTAAGGTTATATCAATGTTCGATGCATGAATATTCGCTGACCGACGAAAAACATCCTCATTGATTTTAATTTCACTAGTTCACAAGTTATCCATAACTTGAATATTCAAAGAAAAATATTGCATTTTGTTTCATTGACATTCTATTTTCAAGTAAGTCATCTGGAAAGCCAAGATTAGACATATTTACTGTTAAATGACTCAATTGTTTGAAGAAAATAAATGATGTGAAGTAGTGTGCTTTTTTGACTCATGTGAGAAAAGGTCTAAATTCAGCTTACAGATTTGCTACCAGGTGTTTGAAAAATTTTAAAAATCAATCATGTCAAATTTGAAAATACCCGGTTAATCAACAAGATGAAATTCAATAAGCATACATAATCTTAAGGTCATATCAACCTTTCATGTCTGAATATTCGCTGACTAATGAAAAACATCCTCGTTGATTTTAATCTAACTGGTTCACGAGTTATCCATGACTTGAATATTCGAAGAAAAATACTGCATTTTATTTCTTTTACTATTTATTTTCAAGTAAGTCATTTGAAAAGTCAAGATGAGACACATTTACTATTAAAGGGTTCAATTATTGGAAGAAAGTTAATGATGAGAAGTAGTGTGCCTTTTTGATTCATACGAGAAAAGGTCCAAATTCAGCTTATAAAATTGCTACTAGATGTTTGAAAAATTTTAAAAATCAGTCATGTCATATTTAAAAGGTAGATAAGAGATAAATTACTCAAGAAATTTAAAATAATTTAAAATAATTGATTGCAATCATCCTTAAATTTGAGAATGCTTGGTTAATCAATAAAATAAAATTAAAAGGGTATACGTTAATTTAAGGTCACATCAACCTTTGATATCTGAATATTTGCTGACTAATAAAAAATATTATCGTTGATTTTAATCTCATCGATTCACAAGTTATTAATAACTTGAATTTTCAAAGAAAAATATTGTATTTTATTTTTTTTATTATCTATTTTCAAGTAAGTCATCTGAAAAGCCAAGCCAAGATCAGACACATTTACTATTAAATTATTCAATTGTTTAAAGAAAGTTAATGATAGGAAGCATTGTGCTTTTTTGACTCATATGAGAAAATGTCCAAATTCAACTCACAGATTTGCAACCAGGTGTTTGAAAAATTTAAAAAATCAGTCATGTCATATTAAGAAGGTAGTTAAGAGACAAACTACTTAGAAATTTTAAAATAATTGATTGCATATTAAAGCTTTAATAGTTGTTGTTTGTTGATTTATATTTTTAGCATGTGTTTTTAGAGGACACGATAAACTTCTGAATAAAAAAATTAAAGTAATTTTTTTGAAATAGTAGAACTTTTAGCATCTTTCAATAAGCAACTAAGCAACTAGAAGCTCTTGTTACAGCTAAAAAAATTAAAGTAATTTTTTTGAAATAATGGAACTTTTAGCATCTTTCAATGAACAACTAGAAGCTCTTGTTATAGGTAATACTTCATAAAATGATAAATACACTTTACATTCAATTCAAAGGGAATTTTTGCATTTAATAGGTAAAAATATTATTATATCTTTTGTAATATGTTTTTTATATAAAATTAAATTATGCAGCTTTTATTTTATTCTTAAACTCATATATAATAAATTAAAAAAATTATATTTTTTAGCCTCCTAACAAATAACTCTATCTCCGCACCTGTAGGCAAGCACTTAATTCCAAATATCATGTCAGAGGAATCTAAATTATAAAACATGCATAGGCTGGCTCGCTCAATAAACACCCGCTACAAGTATGAAGAAAGTTCAAGATTTCAAAACCGAGTGGCGAAGTCAAGTCTTTGGAGCGTATTGCATTTGGTATTTCCAATCTCAAATACGGACAGCAAGGCTGGATTATCTATTAGAATTATCGGGGGGCTGCAAGCACCAAATTTAATAGTAATTTTTTATGATTTAATGAAGATTAATAAAGTTGATATGGTGGCCATTGTTGAACCTCGCATTGGTGTGGTTAATGCGGACACCGTCTCTCAGAGTGGATGCTCAAGGTTTTTCAGGTGGTTTATGGATTCTTTGGAAAGACACTGCTAACAGGGTTCGTATTGTAGATAGTGGAGGCCAATTTGTTCATATTGAAATTGAGAATGTGTCTACAGGCAAATGGTTTTGTACCTTTGTTTATGCCAACCCTTAGCTAGTATTCGTTGAAACACAACTTTTTTGTACCATATAATTAGAATTATTGCTGGTTCCTATGATACATCGATCTGGGTGTTTTTAATGAGATGCCTAGTCCTGCAGACAAAAAGGTGGAGCTCCTTTTGATTTCTCTCGTTGTTTGAGGTATAAACAATAGATTGATTAGTGTAAACTTATTGATTTGTGTTTCATGGGTTCTTGTTTTACTTGAAGGGGCCAGGAAGCTAGAGGTTATGGCTTGAAAGAATCTATTGTGCTTCTTGCAATCAATTTCGGCTAATGAGTTTCGATGATGCCATGGTTCTTCATCTTCCTCGGAGTAAATCCGATCACCTCCCAGTGTGTGTGCTGGCCTGTAATTCTTATCAGGCTGAAATGGGGGCTGCTTTGTTGGGTCTCAAATTAGCATGGCATCTTTGTTTCAAGCAT